CCAAGGAGCTCTTCCGGCTGAGAAAGACTCTGGAGGAGATGGAGCTGAGGATCGAGACCCAGAAACAAACACTGGGGGCCAGAGACGAGTCCATCAAGAAGCTGCTGGAGATGCTCCAGAGCAAGGGGCTGCCCCCCGGCCCGGGCAGGGCATCTGAGGAAGAAGAGCAAGAAAGAGCCCGGCGCATCGCGGAGGCCGAGGCCCAGCTGGGCCACCTGGAGGTCATTCTGGACCAGAAGGAGAAGGAGAACCTACATCTGCGAGAGGTACTGTACCTCCTATCTACAAGTGAGCGTTTGGAGGAACAGACGTGTTACTTGTTTTTGTCACTAGAGGTTCGTACAGAGTAAAAGAAGAGTCATAATGATTCATAAAAAAAAAATTCCAGATTAACTCTCTCTTTGTGTCATCTGTTATCAGGTGTGTTACGTTCATAAGATTTACTACATTTGCATGTGACGTCTTTGGGTTTGAACCCTAACCGTTGAAGGTTCTAGTGACCAGGTCACAGGTCCACTAACGCTCTATGCTCTGCTGCAGGAACTGCACAGGAGAAACCAGCTGCACCAAGACCCGGGCAAAACCAAGGCGCTGCAGACCATCATCGAGATGAAAGTGAGAACCCGACTCCGTTAGCTCTGTGACCTTTGTTTAACGAAGGGTATGGGTTCAAATCCCACTTTTCGAAAAAGTTTTCAAAAACCTTTCTGAATTACTTCACATATATTTGAGTGACCAGTAAAATAAGGTAGAAAAGTACAATATTTTACCATCTTAGAAAAAAAAAAACTTTTCTGTCAATACTTTTCCATCAGCCAATCATCGACAGTTTTACCTTCAAAACTCTGAGTATTTTACAGTAAAATACACAAATACAGTAACAGATGTGTGTCAACTACAGACAGTAACAGACATTTGAGTTTTTCACCATAAAACACACAAATACAGTAACAGATATGTGTCAACTACACAGACGGCCGACCAAGTGACAGACATTTGAGTTTTTCACCATAAAAAAAATAATAATAATAATAATAAAAATCATTCCATTTTTAAATCTTTACATGAACAGAACCAAATGAAAACGTTTTTTTCAGACGACCTGTGGGTCATCCTCAGAGGTCACCAGGTCAGAACAGATCTGTGTCAGTTTCCCCTCTGACCAGTAATCTTTAACGGTCGAGGTAAAACGATGGAACGAACCATGTTTTTAACGACAACCTGAAGTTGTTTTTTTTAAGTCAGACCTCGGTCTTTTTGACTAACTTTTTTTTGATGGATTCAAGACTTGAGTTTGTCAACAGTCCATGGTCTGATCTGACTCCTCACTCTGTGCCACACATTTTCTCACACACACACACACACACACTCATCATCAAATAGAATTTCCTGATAACTCACAGGGAAAGACGTCATCTTTAACACTAGCATAAAGAAAGTTCCATCCTGACCCTGAGCTTCACTGGATCTGACATCACTGCAGCCAGAAAAATCAGACACGTGACACACAGGAGTACGGCTAGAGAAACAACAACAACAACAACAACATCAACAACATCAACAACAACAAACCCCAGGAGATAAAACTTCAGATGAATTCACAGGAACTTTTTTTACTTGACGCTCCTGTGATTCTGTCACAGCGTCCGTTTGTGTTGCCACTTGTCTGAGCGTCAGCGGTGAGTGAGAGA